TTAGGGTAAACAGACCTTATAGTGGCTTTTATCCAGTCCATCATCTTACTTTATTTGAGACACTGTTCCTAAATTAGTTACTCACAATCCATTTTAGTAAAGGTTCTTCAGGAACCTGATGATACTGATCTATAGAATGAAGTAATTTCCTCATACTATACCCTCTGACTTCAGTAGTTTCTTGGTTTTTCTATTCCCTCACATTGACTACCTTCTTGATAACCACAGGTCTCTGAGATATTTTCTGTTGTCCCTGCATAATTTTTTCTTTGAGGAACAACTTAGAGGCTGGTGGCCAAAGAGACTGATCAAAATCCACTTCATCTAGCATCAAAGACAGACCCAGCACTCACTTTACTTTCATTTTAGCTACTACGACAACAATAACCAAGGGATGAACTATTTTGCTTTTTTCTTATTAGTATGCATTTCCTAATATATCCAGTGAACCAGCTCTACTGGGAGTTGGATCCATCTCTAACCTACATTGGTAACTTTTACCTTTAGCACCTGATTACAGCATAGCTTCTGCTCCATGTGGGCACCCAGGAATTAAAAGTTCATCATTTCCCACCCTTTTAATCCTTTCTTCCCAAACCACATGTTTCTGTGATCCAGGGCCATTCTAGTAAATCTCACTTCACTGATAACAATAATAATAATATTAAGGAAAAAACCATATTTAGTCTCCAATTATACTCTCACAATGCATAAGACCTTCTGATACCAGATGTGTGGGATTTTCCCCTAATATACCAAGAAAGCAGTCATTTCTGTGGTAGTGGACACTAGCTGGGTGTTCTCTAGTTCAATTCAACTCTGACACCACCTAGAAATAGTGTCAGATTCCACAAGTTGAGGACTCAGTTCCAGGAGACTGCCTCTACTTCTGACGACAGTTGCAAGCTATGAGTTGTTTTCTGTGCTTCTGACTGAACTTCTGTAAATTGGGATTCTTACAACATCCTCCTAGGGTATAATTAATTTGCTAGAGTGGCTCACAGAACTCAGGGAAATACTTAGTTACATATTCCGGTTTATTATAAAAGATATTACAAAAATTATAAATGAAAAAAATGCACAGGGAAAGGTATGGGAAGGGGCAAAGATCCTCCATACCCTCTCCAGATGTGGTAGGAACTTCCAAATGTTCATCTCTCCAGAAGCTCTCTGGACCCTGCCCTTTTGAGTTTTATAGAAGCTTCATCTATCTAGGCATGATCATTAATTAATTACATGCCATTGGTGACTAACTTAACTTTTAGCCCCTCTTGCTTCCTGGAAGGTTGCTGTTAAGGGACCAGAAATCCCAATCTTCTATTCTTGCCTTGATCTTTCTGGTAACCAGTCACTAGCATACAAAAAGACACTTACTACTTGAAGATTTCAAGGATTTTAAGAGTTGGAATTTAGAAATGGTATGCCAGGAGACTGGAGGAAGACCAAATACATATATCATATACAATATCATACATTGATTAGCATGCCTGCTCTACCACAGATAAACTTTCTCTATGTATAATTCTCTAGGTTCTTTATTCTTTATTGTGTTTTCTTGACTATCTTGTCTTTCCTTGTATGGTAGAAACTTTGCTGGCAGTTCATCAAACTCATTTCCTCAGTGTACATCATATCTATCACATTACCTAGCCCCTCTTGCAATTGAATGGGGCCCTGTGATTATATTCTATATGGAATGTAGACAGAAGCAATATATACCATCTCCACACTTGGCCTCTACATTTTCCCATGAATATCCTTTACAATATCTCTCTTCTATTGCTTGTGGCAGATGCTGAGAATTCAATGGAGTATTCAGAATCTATAAAAAATAGCAAAGTCTGGACGGGGCTAGACTGCTCCTCCCTTTCAGCAAGATATCTTGAACCCCTCCCACCCTATCTAACACCCATCTTCCTTTGGACTTCAAAGTAGTATTATTGTTATTATCACTTTGTTTAGACTAGTATGAATAATTGAGAACTGCGTGTAACAGATTTAAGATTTAAAAAGATATATATACTTGTCCATCCTTTCTTTGTACAAATGGAAAAACTATCATTAGTGCATTATGAAGCCAACTTCATGTGGATATAATTTATGTCATTGGTAAGATAGATTCAGGAGATTGAATCCATTCCTGTTAAATAATGTCATCTTTCTATTGATAAGGGGAAAATAAGACCCTCTGTTCTCTCAGGAGCCCATCACACACCCTACAGCTAATGGTTTATTTCCCATGCAGATAGGGAACAGAGCACACCTTTTTTTGAAAGTATATAAAAAGTAGCCAGGCCAAGTACACAGAATAGAAGTGAAGGTGCCAGGATTGAGATGCATGTTTTGTTTTGTCTTGTTTTCATATCTGGACAGTTTTTAAATCTAAGCATGGTCCTGTTCCAATGAATTGTGAATATTGTCAATTGTTTCCTCATTTTCTCTATCTGAAAGGAAACCACTTTAATCCTTTTTTCAAATTTAGGGGCAAATGTTTCTGACATCGTTTTCACAGTCCTTTGGTGATATCTCTGTGCTGGTTTGTCCAGCAGCATGATGGAGTGGGCAAAACTAAGAGTACATCCTCTGGGATCAGCTTGGTTTTAAACCCTGGCTCTGCTGCATAACTTGGTGACTTTGGGGATATTACTTAGCCTTTCTGTGTCTGGTCATTTATCTACAAGATGGAGAATCATAGTACCATTTCACAGGGTTGTTGTGAGGAATAAATGAGACAATTTGTGTAAAACACCTGAAACAGTGCCTTGCACTTAGCAAGTCTTGTTAAATGTGTGAAAAAACTGAGCTAATGACCATACATTTGAAGAGATAGAAGAGATAGGTAAAAAAGACTAAAAATTCAAATTGAGAAATAACAGTGGAATTAGAAAGATGTTATTCAAATAGAATATACTAATTAAAATGAACATTTACACTGACCTTACAATTTGATGTATTTGTGTTTGGTAATTGGAAAAATTATACAAAAAGCCCTAGGCGACTGTCAAAGCTCAAATTATTAATGTCATCCTATAAAAAGTATTATTGTAGTTGAAAAATTATGAAACAAATCATTATTGACATAAGCATATGCAATACATACAATTAGAATATTATAATTAAGGGCACAAATTGGCTTTGTCATAAAAGGAGTAATTCTTTTCTCATCTTACCCCCAATACTGTCAAATATGTTTTAAGTTGATCATTGCGTAAACTCAGGGAAAAAGAGAACAAGAGAATTAAAAATATATGATATTTTATTGTCAAAAATAGACAAACTTTGATTTCCTTGAACAGGAATTATAATTTAAGAGCCTCCATAAGCCATCACAAGTTTGTAAGTGCAACAGGCAAGAGAGCTACAGACAACTCTTAGTAAAAAAAGGACAACAGTTCTACATTTATGCCCACAAAGCCTTGCCTAGTCACTGGTGGCAACTCTACAACAGTAGCAGAAACACAGTGACCATTAGAGTCCTGAACAACAGACATGCAGAACAGTGTTGACTTCTCTTAGTGGAGTTCTACAAAGTTGCTTTGTGGTATCTTTCCAGGCATTTGAAGAGTTTAGTTGTTAGAATACTTACTAATTTAAACAGTGACATATTAGGTCATTTTTAGTGTCAGTAACAGGATCATACCTGTTTTTGAGTAACAACAGGTTGACTACGTCTGCTTCTGCAACCCTGGTCTCTGGTGTATGAAGTGGAAAGAAAATCTGAATAAATTTCTTATCCATGGCCCACATAGGGATGTGAAGCCCTTGCTTCACATTATCTTGCTTGAACATTATCTTGTGGAGGCTAAATTCTTTCATTTACATAAAAAAAGAGAATATAATGATCTAGTTAGTGGGAATAAAACAAAAAATAAAGACTTTATTATTCCATAGGGTGAGGTATCCAAGGTGGAAGAAGGCTGGGTATGAGCACTGATTATCTGGACAATGACTTTATTCTCTACACGGTACTATAAACCAGTTCTCCATAGTCAAAGCAGATCACAAATATACCCATCTCTAGTAGTGTTCAAAATGGCAGTGTACAGCTATTGCCTCTGAAAACTGGAGTTAAGGAGACATACCTCAATTCCCAGAAAAGGCTAGAGGTAAGATAACATTGACATGGCGAGATGGTTCATCTGAAATTAAGCATACATAGTATTGAGAAGAAGCTAGATTACCAAATGAATCAGAAGAACTAGGTCTGAGAACTCATTTCCCATCCTAACAGGTATTCATCATTTACTCAATGGAAGAGTTATCAACTACATGCAAAAAAAAAAAAAAAAAAAAAATCAGCTCAGTTCAACATTTCCATTTGTGCTAGTTTAAAGACAACATTTAATACTTGAGAATGAAAAAAACTGAGCTTATATTGTACCATAGAGTCATTTAAAACAACATACTGTGTTTATTAAAATGGTCACTCAGCTCTGTTTTTGTTAAGCCCTGGCCTAGTCATGTGGCTCTTTGAGCTCTGGCTGGGTCATGTTTCCTTAAGCTATGGCCCCCTTCTCTTCCTTGGGAAGGTGATCTCCTCTTTCTCTAATGTACTTTCTAGATAAACTAGAAATTCCATCTAAAAATAAAATAAAATGACAGCTCAAGCTTTGTTGCCTCTTTTAAACAGAAGAGTGGGGAGGTCACAAAGGAAGTGAGACAGTTCTGTTGTTGCTGTAACATTTATTTGCTCTTACCTAAGGTTTATCTTTAATTAAGGTTACCCACTTAATTCTACTCTCCTAACAAACCCTCAAACTTTAGTTGGAAATTGCGTAGGTGTGTGACTTCTGTAAATTTTGATGGGCTCAGCATTATTTATTAATATTCTGTGATTGAAGGGACATTTTGATAACTTACAGAAAAAAAGTCATATGAAAATCAAACTAGGTAAGTCTGGCTTATATAGTTTATTAGTAAGACTAGCTGGAAAGATTGTGGAATCAAATATAAAACTGAAGTCAACTTGCTTTTTTTCCTTCCTTATTCCATCCAGTCCCATTCTGTAAAAGATGTGACATATGCAGAAAATGTACACTCTCTCGAATCATTTCTTCAAGGGCCACAAAATCAGCCTTTTAGCTGCATTTGCTAAGAAAAAAAGGAGAGAAGATGGTCTACACTTAGGGTTTCTATCAAGAACAGGCAGGAAAAACTACACATGACTTTATCTGAGAAGCTGCATAGTTTTATTAACCAATCATGAAAGAACCTTTAAAATTTTCTTCCTTCTTAGCACTCTTCAATAACTGTTGTTCCAATCAGTGAGTAAAGTTTTTTCTTAATAAGTCGAAATCCTGAGCTGAGGATCAGAGTTCTCCTGAGGCCAGATGAGAGGTGACCTCTACTAAAGAAAAAGTCCCTGAAGCTTGTCCATGTGCAGTTCTCCTGCTTAAACACAAGCGTAAGCTCAAAAGTAGGTACCACGCTAGAATCACACACAATCCTATCCAGCTTTCTACATACATTTTCAGTTTCCAAGTTCACGTTCAGAACACAGCCTCGTAGGCCGCAGGGTTCCGTGGAGGAAAGCCGCAGGACATCCTGAGCAATTCTCTGGGTTAGTTTCTCAGGGACGAGGACCTTTGAACAACCAAGTTTGGTTTGCTTTGATTTGGATAGACAGTTCTCCAGCATTTTAACCAAATTTTGGCAAGTTGTCTCCTCAAATATTACTTCTTTGAGGTTGGGTTCAGGAACAACATAATCCCAGTAGTCCAAATCTGTAGGAAATGAAATTTTCTTTTTAGATTAAAAAAAAAAAATCCAGGAGTAGAACAAAAACACACTAAGATATCAACATTGGCTACCACTATCTACCATATCTATCTGTTTCTAATATTTGCTTGGGGGTCAGCTGACCTAAATTTGCTGGATAACTAGGTAATCATTCTCACGAATGATTTATCTATGAAATAAAGGCTTTGCTAAATAGAGTGAATTGGAAATACCATTTTTCTTTATAAGTGTACACACACACACTCACAAAGTTTATGCATCAAAAATCCATTTGTGGTTATCCTAGATTACTAGTGATTCTCTTGTCATTCTTGCCTACCTGCTTATGGTGGTTTTCTAATTTTGTTTTACAGAAAACATGCATAACAGTTCTGGAATAAAAGTGGTTATAATTTTTTTTTTGGACTGAGGGACTGCTGCTTTCTAACTATAGGAATATGTGTATTGTAAAAATACAGAATTTTGCTATTGTTAAGTGAGTTCATAATGAATTTGATGAACTATATTGAAGATCAATCACATCTGTATCTTGCTTTAAAAATCTTTACTGGAATAGCTTGGGGATTCCAATTTTAGCTTTAACGTCTCTGATTAAAAATTGCTTAGAGAAGACCTTCGAGGTTCATGAGGATATTTATAACTGGCTGGATAGTTTTTCTTAGCCAAGCAAAATAAAATAGTCCTAGGAAAACAAATTAGATTTGCTCAAAGGAAAAGAGATAGCTCTACATTTGGTCACCTACCTCCCAAATTAATCCTACCACTTGGCAGGATGCCACACCACACACAGTCAAACCAGCAGGGTGCAGGCAGATGCCCCGCCTGCTGCCTCTCTGTCTATTTCACCTTCACTGGTGACTGTATTCACTTAGAGCATTTTTTTTTAAAACAACTAAATGAAACAGATGCACTTTGAATTATAAGGACTCCATATTTTATGTTGAAGATAGAGGAACTTTAGAGTTCTGGTATATAAAAGTAGGTCATCAACCATTTCACCTTCTAAATCAGAAAGGCTCAAACAGCTTGAGCAATTTATCTCTGCTGGTGCAGCTCTTGAATGGCAGAGCAGTATGTTTTCTTAGAAACCGGATGTTCAAAACTGCAAATGACAAAAAGTCCTGTATCACTGCTGTTGAGAAGTTTCCTTCTAGAATAATGCCTAGATCCACAAGTGGAATCCTACTCAGTAATAAAAAGGAACACATTGATATAAGCAATATCATGGAAGGAGCTCAAAAACAACAGGCTAAGGGAAACCAGATACAAAAAAGTACACCCTGGACGATCCCATGTATTTGAAACTCTAAAAGCAAGACTAACTTACAGTGACAGAAATTAGATCAGTGGTTCCCCCCAGGGTCAGGGGAGAGTGGGTAACGGATAGCACCTGGGTATCCTAGGGTTTTGGGGGAGGACGTGATGTTTGTTATGTGACAAGTACACTTGTTAAAACACGTAACTGTACACTTCACAACTACGTGTAGGGGGCAGGAACTTAATCACAAAGAGCCTCGACTGGAAAGATGCAGCTCTAGGATTTTATTTTTACTGGTTTTGAGTCCTCACTATCCGGGCCAGAAGTCGCTAGAAAATTTGGAAAATTTGGAAAGGGGTCTCCTCAGTTGTAGGACACCCCGTACATCGAGGAAGGCGGGAGGGCTCAGTATACAGGGGCATCGAGGTGGAAAGAACGGGGAGAGGTGGCAGCCGAGACACTCACCACTTAGCAGGCTCCCTGGGTGATAGCCACGGTCCAGCAACTCTGAAATGCTGGCCGGGTTCTTGCTGCTCAAACTGCCAGTCGCAACCATGGTCAACGACTCTGGTTCCCTCGCGGGGTGGAACGGCCTTTCACTGGCGCTGAAATAAAAAGGCGAGAGAGACAGATTGCAAAAACAGACAGGACGTGCAGAGGCTCCTACAACGCTCCGCGTCGCGGTAGCGAACCCTCCGGGGCACTCCCGGTCCAGAGGGGAGGACCCGGCCTCTGGTTCCTTCAACTTGCAGCTCAAGTTTCCAAAGTCCCGGGAGCGGAGACGCCAACTACAGCCACCGACTGAAACTAACTCGAAAGTTTGCAAAACCTGGAAGCAATGGCCCAGCGGAGTTCCTTCTCCCCCGCGTTCCCCCCTCCAACGCCTGGGCTGCGCTCACCTGCCGGGACTTCGCGGGGGCGGAAGCGGTCCGCCGCAACGCTGCGGAGTAAACAGAGGCAGGCAGTCCCCCGTAGGAGTCCTCTCCCCTGGAGGCTGAGTGACCTCCACACCCAAGCAGCCAGCAGCACCCGGCTCGCCCCCGTCTACCCAGCGCCGGCTTCACGAAGCAGCATCGCTTTGGGGCTGCAGAACTTAATAGTTCAACCCGCACCCTGCCCGGCCCGCCCACCTGCGCCGCCCTTCCCCGGCGAGCGCCCCGCCCCACCGCTCCCTTCCTGAGTCGGGTCGCATTTCAGTCTCGAAACTTCAAGGGGCCTGAGGCAAGCCCTTGGGAGTGGAGGATAAGCCTGGAGTATGGCGGACACCAGCTGTTTCCTGTGTAGGCCAAGGGTCACCGTGTCAGCATTTCTGGGCGCGCGACTCACCAAAGACTGACCACCTACTCCCGGTCAAGCACGATTCTCCGGTGCAACCCCTCTTCCAGGGCACACTTCCGCACCCAAGCCTCTGGGCCTCTGCAAACATGCTGTACTGTACTATGCAGCGGAAAGCTCTGTCCCCTCTGTTTTTGACCATGACCCGAGGCTGTGCTGTCTCCCTGAACACTTGGCTGACATCTTTTTCGGGGTTCAGTGAGCATCATTTGTGCGCTTAACTGTGGTCTCTAACCCAGTCAACTCTACCTCGCCTCCCAGGGTTTCCTCATCTTCCTCTCCTGCACAGGGTGGGATCTAGCTTTCCTTCCCGCCAGAAGGCTAGCCAGCATTTTAGGGTCTTAATTACCTGGCTCCCCGGTAATGTAAGGATTCTTCGTGTCCTTACATCTGTGACTAATGCGTTTTCTCCGCAGAAAGGGTGAGCCTGGCACTATTCTAATTAGACTTAGCTCCAGAGCATGGAAGAGCTTGAATTGGGGGAGTTTGCCAAAAAACTAAACAAAACCATTAGTGGGAACTCAGCTACTTCCGCCATCCTTGGGAGCAATTGTCATTCCCAGAGGCAGAAGTTTCTGGAGAGCCCTGTTAGGAGGAACTGGGGTTTGGACTGACTTGAAGAGGCTTGAGGGAATAGAGATTAAGAGTGTTATCTCCTGCTAGGGATAATCCCTGTGAGGCCTCCTGTGCGGTACGGCCCCTCCGGGAAGAATCAATATGTTCGCACAATCCATGAGCAAGAAGTCAAACCTTATTTTTTCTCCTGAAGTTACTGAGCCACCCTTTTCCTGCTTTGCCGTGGCAGTAGAGTGGATATTCCCAAGAAACTGGGGATTAAAATGTGGAGATGCCTGGAGGGGAAAGGTTGTTTTCTACACGTAAAGTTTCCAGTGTGGTGTCCAGGCACTTCAGGATTATGTATAGAAGTTATCTGCAGGTTAGGGCCTTGAAAATCAGTTTCGGCTGTCCAGGCTTAAAACCCTTAGTAAGAAAAACAGCAACAGAAGGGTTAAGGAGGGTGTGGTCAACAGATCAGTGGGAGGACATTGGAGGCAGAGCAGCAGAAATTAAAACTAGCTTGACAGTCCATTTTTAACTCAACTCAGGCAGCTGCACTGCCTGAAGGTCAGGCCAGCTAGGAAGGAGATGCTGATAGGCTGGTCTTTGAAAACAGATTTCCACTTCTATTTCAATAACAGAAAAGTAGGAAAAAACAAACCCATTTAAGCCAATTAAAAAAGGGATTCAGTGGCTAGTGTGTTCAGCACCAATGGATGAGTGTCTAGTCAGGTGTCAGATGCCTGCTGCCTGACAGTCTGTGCCTGGACAGGCCACAGAGCCTCCTGTCCTTATCTGGACACATTTTTAGTGAGGCGGCCTCTTGCCTGCTTCCACGGAGAGTTATTAAAATTAATAAAATGAGTGGTCTCAACCTACACTAGTGAAAGAAAGAAATTACTCATTTCAATTTTCTTAGAGTATTTAGGCATAACTAATAGGTTTAAGTACTCCCACAGGACCAGAAGGATTATTGGAACTTCTAGAAAGTAGCAGTTTCTACTTTCTTTTTTTTTGAGTTGGAGTCTCACTCTGTCGCCCAGACTGGAGTGCAGTGGCCGCTCCCGGCCACCGCAACCTCGACCTGCTGGGCTCTGGCGATCCTTCCGCCTCAGCCTTCCAAGTAGCCGGAATTACAGGCGCGTGCTACCACGCCCAGCTGATTTTTTGATTTATTGTAGAGATGAGGTCTCGCTACCCAGGCAGGTCTCGAACCCACGGGCTCAGGCAATCCACTCACCTCAGCCTCCCAAAGGCGCGGGATTACAGGCTGAGCCACCGAGCCCGGCTACTTTCTTTACTTGGCTATCTGACTAACTGAAATTTTGCAAAGCCATTTGAGATTTGACTGCCAAAACCAATTTACCTATGTACAAAAGACATCAAATAATATCTTTTTGACTGAATAGACCTTGATCTCAGGACTTAAAGGTCATAAGGAGTGACTGAGTTAGAACACAAACCTGGAATAATAAGCAGAAATTGTCCTTTAAAATCTACTTAAAGGGGAAAAAATTCCATTCTATTACCAGTTAAACAGAGATGACTTTTAAAAATAAAGCATGCCAAACAGAAAATCTAAGTGCCATAATAGTTTTGTCATTATATGACACACTTAGTATACCAGATTTTTTTTAATGCTGTAGTAGGTACAGTAATCATTTGAAATGGAAAGTTCATCACATTGGTGTACTTTGGGTGTTTATCAAGTGCAGTGATAAAAAAGTTTGTTTTATTGCAGCTTCAGTATATTCTATTTAATACTGTATAAACAGTTTGTGGGGGTGCTTACTGGTAATACCAGTTGTGTATTAATAGAAAATCTAGTTGTTTAAATAATTTCATTCTCTTTCATACACTAGGATAGCAAATTATCAAAAATCATAAGCAAAGATTTTAACTTAAGCATGCTTGCTTTTTTATTACTATTCATACTATCATTGCTTAAAGTATAAATTCAGAATACCAGAGATATTGCAAAAAAACAAACAAACAAAAATGATGCTTTAATGTATTATTATAGAAAATGTTGGTGTCTTGTGCATCCGTGATTTGGGGTGTTGAATATTTATTACATGTTTCACTGGCCAATTTCCTGTCTTTATTTGGTATGAGCCACTGTTCTTGAACTCTTATTAATACATTTTTATTCAGTGAGTTGCTTATTTCATTTCATAAACTATAACATCTGAGGAAAAATTCTTGAGTTTCTTAATCTGTACAGTGGATTCAGAGAGGATTTATAGGACATGAAAGTTGATCTGTACAGAATACAAGGTCACTTAGTAAGTCATAGGGTTCTTGTGAGGATTAAAAGAGAAACCCTTATAATCAATGGTAAATATTATCTCTTTTAAATAAACAAATATGAGATCTTTAACTTTACACTGTCTGTGTATTCCCTTAGTTGTGTTAAGTTTTTGAATTTGGTGACCATATGAAATGCTTGGAACAGGACCTGGTATATTGCAAGAGATTAATGAGTACTATCATTATTGTTCTAAAATTGTAGTTTTCTAGTTCAGGGCAACAAGCAAGTGCTAAAAGGAGTTGGGGAAATATTGTTAAAGTAGAACAAAATTTATGGTCTTTTTTGTTTGCAGGAAATCTGGAAAATAGTTGTCACTGATTAGGAGAGCCTTTTTTATTATAATACATCCATCACTGTATGGGAAAGCAGGAAGGAGATCTGCCAATGATATGTAAGAAAATAGTGTGGGTAAAAAGTTATCTTGGTGTAAAATACAGAATTCTATGTGTTAACTTTCCTTTATTAATCTAGGAAATAGTGTTCTGGGAATAAATGAAATTTATAGACAATTGAAATTATTGACCATAGAACCACCCAATTGTTTCAAGACATGTATGACCCTCTGTTAACATTCCAGGTGAGATATTTCATCACCATTTTTATTTGTCTTTGAGGCTGCGCCAACCAATAAGATTTCCATTTAGTGATTAATGAAAATAGTGATGCAATATGAGTTATTCTATAGAATGATAAAGCATTTCCAATTATGTAAGGAAACATACAGCTATATCTAATATATGACAAAAACCAGGCCCAATATAAAATAATACATAATACCTGCTGCTAAAAACTGAGAGAATCTTCCAGTAGCAGAAAGCATTGTCTCTCTAAATTTAAGCAGAGAAATGGTTACCATAGCGACTTTGCTCTTAAAATAGTTGTATGATTTCATTCTTTTCACAAACAATGCTGTGTATTATGTCTCTTAAAATAAAGAGAGCTGAAGATATGCTTAAGTGTACACAATATCCTCTTTTCCTTAATTATGGAAAGATTTATGATTCAGGTGCCCACATTGAAGAATGTCAGTAGGGAACATGGAGTAGGTCCTCGATATTTTTCTAGGGATACATCTTAAAACATTTGCAGTTCCCAAATTTGAGAATACCACTATGGCATACCATTTTTCTGGAATTTGTGTAGGAAGAAAAGAGGAAAATAAAGTTGTGTGCTCATGTTGGTTTAGAGTCCTTCACTAGTCCCCTTTCCTGTACCAGCCAAGTGTCCTGGTCAATCAGCCTTGTACAGTTTTTGTCATATCTAGCAAAATTACACATTACTTCATGACATAAACTTGTGGGGTTGCTCAAGAAGAGAATTGAATCTGAAAATGCCCAATTGTTGACTAAATATAAGATTCTGTAGTACTCTTTTAGAATGAGGTCTCATCTTCATTTTGCAAATTTAAAGTGCATTAAACATTAAACAGGTGAACAAGTCAGAGTGATTCAGCTCTTTCATCTTCATGTTGTGGTAGTTAGGTGCATGAACTGTGGAACCCAGCTGCTTGAGTTCATATCCCTGCAATGACATTTACTAGCTGTGTAAACCTGGATAACGTACTTAACATTACTGTGCATCTATTTACACCTTTAAAATGGGAAGAATGGGGGAGGGTGTGATAGGGAG